TGGAGGGTGATGGGGGTCAACGCCTGAGGGCTCCCAGTATGTGAGAGGGGGCAGGCTGGGCTGAGGGACACCCCCCCACACACACACCAAGTGCACGAATTTTGTGCACCGGCCCCCTAGTATATATATAAAAGGCTAATATGCAAATTTTCCCCTTGGGAGTTCAACTGGGAGACCAGGAGTTTGATCGCTTGCTATTATGTACACTGACCACCAGGGAGAAAGTGTGAACAAAGGAAGGCTCTGGCTTGCAGGTGGTAGCAGGGGAAGAGAGGCCTGGCTGGAAGCCAGAGGTCCCGATTGGCCCTGATTGCTGGCCAGGCCTGGGTACCTTATCCATGCACTAATTTCATGCACCAGTCCTCTAGTTTAATATATGATAGAATAATTATAAAAAGAATAGATTTTTATTCCATTCTGTTCTACATAATTTAGTCACTTATCATAAAGAAAAGGTGGAGTAAATCATAAAAGCACCTTAACCTTGATAGTTCCTCTTTTCTTTCCGCCCCTTCCAAGTAGGCCTTTCTCTACAGAATGGGATAATTAATCTTATAGAAAGAAGTCCAGTGCGGGTATGAGTTCTTGCCTGTTGATGGCTTGCTGGAAGTGGAGATCCTGCCCTATAATACAAATCTAACCCTGCTCAGGATTTCTCATGAAATTCTATGTAGTTCTTTACTCAATAATTCAGATGTTAGTTTCAAAACCATACAGCCATATACAACACATTGGGTATTATCCCTCCTCTAGATATCTAGCTTATTCTTACCACATGGTAGATAAAGCAGCTCCTTGCTTAGATGTGGGGGTTTACAGAGAAATGGTGGGATCGATGTTCCCCCAAGCCTACAGGAAGATTTTGGGGGTGGTAGCTTTCTTGTGAGTCTCTTATATTTTCTAGCTTTCTGAAATCACTTACCCATTCTCTGTCTCTGGAGTCTCTATTTACTAATCCTTTTCAGTAAGGAACCCAGCCCATTTCCCAAGCTCTTGAAATTCCTTCTAATGTCTTACTAATTGAAAAGCTATATAGTTTGCCCTAGTGACCTGCTTTAGGGAGTGATGAGCTCAAGCTTTAAGGAGAAAGTTGGAAGAAGAAATAATTCTGATTCCACTAACTGGGTGTGTAAAGAAGTTGGGAGCTATCAAGGTTTCTTTTTCCCCAAAGACTTGAAA